CCAAATAGAAGCATGAATGTCCTTGAAGAGTTGAATATTTTGATATCTGAAATAGCTGAAAGTATGCTGAAGAAGAATTTTCCCATTTATTTAAATGGGGCAAAATCTTCAAAATAAAGCTAAATATGTTAAAAGTATGAAGTTCAGAAAAAAATCTGAAAAGATGCATGAATGTGCTTGAAGAGCTGAACATTTTGCTACCTGAAATAGCTGAAAATATGCTGAAGTAGAATTGTCCCATTCATTTGAATGGGGAAAAACTTTCAAAATAAAGCTAAATATTTCAAAGGTATGAAGTAAGGAAAAATTCGGAATAGAAGCATGAATGTCCTTGAGGAGCTGAACATTTTGGTACCTGAAATAGCTGAAAGTATGCTGAAGTAAAATTTTCCCATTCATTTGAACGGGGCAAAACTTTTAAAATAAAGCTGAATATTTTAAAAGTATGAAGATTAGAAAAATTCTGAATAGAAGCATAAATGTCCTTGATGAGCTGAACATTTTGATAGCTGAAATTATGCTGAAGTAGAATTTTCCCATTCATTTGAATGGAGCAAGTTTTTCAAAATAAAGCTAAATATTTCAAAAGTATGACGTTTAGAAAAGTTCTGAATAGAAGCATGATTGTCCTTGAAGAGCTGAACATTTTGATAGCTGAAAGTATGCTGAAGTTGAATTTCCCCGTTCATTTGAATGGGCAAAATTTTGCTGAAAAACACTAAATAGTTAAACAAGTATGAAGTTTAGGAAAATTCTGAACAGATCCACACATGTCCTGGAAAAGCTGAACATTTTGATACCTGAGTGGTTTTTCTAGCTGAAAGTATGCTGAAGTAGTTAAGGGCCAAAAAACGTACGGAAGAATAATAATAAAGACCAGGAAAACATACTGTGGATGCTGAATCAGCATCCACACGATTATGGATTTTAATAAAGCACAGACTGAGTTCCAATTAACTAGATCTAGAATTAAACTCTAATAAATATTAACAGATCAAATCCATCATTACTATGATAATTGTGAAGTGACTCTAAGAGCGTTAAATCCACATGAACAGGTTTATCAGGCTGGGGCAGTATACTGAGGGAACTTAAAAAACATCAAATGTGTTTGAATGGGTGGAGAACGCCAGGTGACTGGAAGGCGTCTTATGGCTCATTGCCAGAATACCAGCTGCTGAAACCTTCCAGAGAAATGCAGGCATCTGGGGGAAAAGATAGTGAGTGTGAAAACAGACACAGGGGCAAAACAGGCAACTAGAACAGGATGGTGGCAGGAATTATGCCAGGTGGACTTGTATCAACATTAGTGAGAGTGAATAGGGCACAGCAAGTGATGAGTTAAGATATAAAATTAAAAACATATGAAGAACTCAAAAAGCAGGTTTTCTGTAACAAAAATATATCATTTACCATATAATTTTTTGTGTGGGTTTTATTTTATTTTGTGGTTTGGTGAAGCTTTACCTCAGACCCTCTCTTATTACCCTGTTGTCCTTCACTGCTTGGCTGAATAAGAGAAACATTCACTCACAGCATGAAGGGGGATTTCTCTCAAGCATTTGGGTCAAAAACAAAACCTACTGGCTGCAAGAGAGAGAGCACAGGGAAAAGGGATGGGGGAATAGTAGGGCAGATAAACAAAACTGCTTTAGAACACATGGACTTTCCCCACGTGAATCAGTATTCATGCCATGATCTCTCCATTGAGCAGTAAGGCCAGAGAGAAGAGGGAGCTGAAAGACAGATGAGACAGTGGGAGGGCTATGGGATGTCATGTGTAAAGAAGGAGATTCTCATTGGAGGCAAAGAGAAAGAAGATTGCTATGCATATTTTGAGAAAAGGGTAAAAATGAGAAAAAAAAAGCATCCAACATTTGGGAGCCTTCCTGGTTGCATTGGTATACTGTGGACTTCGGGACTCCAGATCTTGTCATTATTAAGGTAGGTGCAGGCAAATAGTTGTCACAAATTCAAAGATGCAATGAACTTATTTAGGTGTGGGGGGAACGCTACATTTCTATTTGTACTGTAGTTGTAGTCAGTGCAGAGTGCATTCATTAATGTCTAAGCTCAGTGTTAAGGTTCCCTACTGAGATGCACTGCAAAAAAAAAAAAAAACATTTCATAGTGTAGACCAATATTAATCCCCACTATATTTCACTGTTTATTTCATTTCATCTTTGCACTGCAGTAGCTTTTCACTCAACTAAAGTCACAGAGGAACACATTCTGTTTTCTTAATTTTTTTGTTTCTCAGGATTTCACAATATGTGTTTATATTAAACATATTAACTCTCCATTACACTTGGATCTCATTTTCAGGCAGGGTTGTTTAAACATTCTTAAATTATTATTAAGTATAACACAAAAAACATGCAGGAGAAAAAACAAGCAAAGAAAGCGCTCCCATGGGGACTTTAACGCCCACGTGGGCAACGAGAGTGATACCTGGAGGGGCGTGATTTGGAGGAACGGCCTCCCTGATCTGAACCCAAGTGGTGAGTTGTTATTGGATTTCTGTGCTAGTCATGGTTTATCCATAACAAACACCATGTTCAAATATAGGGGTGTCCATCAGTGCACATGGCACCAGGACACCCTAGGTCAGAGGTTGATGATTGACTTTGTAGTTTATTCCTCTGATCTTCAGCCATATGTTTTGGACACTCGGGTGAAGAGAGAGGCTGAGCTGTAAATTGATCACCACCTGGTGGTGAGTTGGATTCGATGATGGGGGAAAAAGCTGGACAGACCTGGCAGGCCTAGGCGTATAGTGAGGGTCTGCCGGGAATGTCTGGCAGGGGCCCCGGTCAGAGAGGTCTTCAACTCCATCTTCTGACAGAGCTTCAAACAGGTGCTGAGGGAGACTGGGGACGTTGAGTCCGAATTGACAGTTTTCCACACCTCCATTGTCAGGGCGGCTGCTGGGAGCTGTCGCCATAAGGTCTCCGGGGCTTATTGCGGCAGCAATCCTCGAACATGGCGGTGGACACTGCAGTAAAGGATGCTGTCAAGCTGAAGATTGAGCTCTATCAGGCCTGGTTGGCTCATGGGACTCCTGAAGCAGCTGGCAGGTACCAACAGGCCAAGCGGGACGCAGCTCTGGCAATCACCATGGCAAAAACTCGGGCCTGGGAGGAGTTCAGTGAGGCCATGGAGAAAGACTTTTGGTTGGCTTCAAAGAGATTCTGGAGAACTGTCCGGCAGCTCAGGAGGGAAAGCAGTGTTCTGCCAACACTGTTTGCAGTGGAGGTGGTGTGTTGCTGACCTCAACTGAGGATGTCGTCGGCCAGTGGAAGGAGTACTTTGAAGATCTCCTCAATCCCTCCGACTCGCCTTCTGTAAAGGAAGCCAGGGCTGGGGACTCAGGAGGGGACTTTACCCTGGCTGAAGTTGCAGAGGTAGTTAAGGAACTCCTCAGTGGCAAGGCTCTGGGGGTGGATGAGGTCTGCCCCAAGTTTCTCAAGTCTATGGATGTTGTGGGGCTGTCTTGGCTGACGCCTCTGCAGCATTGCGTGGAGTTCGAGGACGGTGGCTCTGGACTGGCAGACCCTTCTTAAAAAGGAGGACCAGAGAGTGTATTCCAATTATAGGGGGATCACACTTCTTAGCCTCCCCGGGAAAGTCTACGCCAGGGTACTGGGGAGGAGAACCCACCCGATAGTCGAACCTTGGATTCAGGATGAACATGCAGTTTTTGCCCCGGCAGTGGAACACTGGACCAGCTCTATACCCTCACTAGGGCGTTGGAGGGTTCATGGGAGTTTGCCCAACCAGTCTACATGTGTTTTGTGGATCTGGAGAAGCATTTCAACTGTGTCCCTCATGGCATCCTGTGGGAGCTACTTCAGGACTATGGGGTGTGGGGCTCATTGTTACAGGCTGTCTGGTCCCTGTATGACTGGAGTAGGAGCTTGGTTCGTATTGCCAGCAGTAAGTCAGACCTGTTTCCAGTGCATGTTGGACTCTGCCAAGGCTGCCCTTTGTGACCAATTTTGTTCATTATTTTTATGGACAGAATTTCTAGGTGCAGCCAGGGAACGAAGGGTGTCTGCTTTGGTGGTGGCAGAATCTCATCCCTGCTTTTTGTGAATGATGTGGTTCTGTTCGCTTCATCAGTTCAAGACCTACAGCGTGCACTAGAGGGGTTTGCAGCCGAGTGTGAAGTGGCAGGGATGAGAATTAGCACCTCCAAATCTGAGGCCATGGTACTCAATCAGAAAAAGGTGGGTTGTCCTCTCCAGGTTGGGGGTGAGTTGCTTCCTCAAGTGGAGGAGTTGAAGTATTTCGGGGTCTTGTTCACGAGTGAGGGAAAAATGAAGGGGCAGGTTGACAGACGGATCGGTGCAGCGTCCGCAGTAATGTGTTTTCTGTACTGGTCCAGTGTGGTGAAGAAGGAGCTGAGTCGTAAGGCGAATTTACCAGTTGATTTACATTCCTACCCTCACCTATGGTCATGAACTTTGGATCATGACCAAAAGAATGAGATCACGGATACAAGCGGCAGAAATGAGTTTCCTTCGGAGAGTGGCTGGGTGCACCCTTAGGGATAGGGTGAGGAGCTCAGTCACCTGTGAGGAGCTCAGAGTAGAGCTGCTGCTCCTCCACATTGAGCGAAACCAGTTGAGGTGGCTCGGGCACCTGTTTAAGATGCCCCCTGGATGCCTCCCTGGGGAGGTATTCCGGGCATGTCCTTCCAGGGGAAGGCCTCGGGGCAAACCCAGGACACGTTGGAGAAACTATGTCTCCCGGCTGACCTGGGAACACCTTGGGGTTCCTCCTGAGGAGCTAGAGGAGGTGTGTGGGGAGAGGGAAGTCTGGGGGGCTCTGCTCGGACTATTGTACCTGCGACCCGGTCTCAGATAAAGCGGATGAAAATGGATGGATGGATGGATGGATGGATAAGCAAATACTGAAATGAGTTGTTTTTACTGTCTCTGTATACTCAGTTCACTCAACATAGATTTTTTGATTGTTGCTGGCTTGTCTGGTTTGATTTTAAGGTAGTGGCTTTGGATAAACGCTCTAACAAGATAGTGAAATTATGTACTCCAAGCTGGCATGGCTGATTGTGATCCAGATCCTGCGGAACAAACAGGCTCTGTGCAGGGTCCCACCTCCTGCCCTGCCTAGTCACACTCTGCTTCCAGAAACTGACTTACCTGAAGAGGTAGAGGAGGCAGCCCAACAGGAGCACCAGTATCTGCTTGGATCCCAAATCCAGCTTGGTCTCTCATCTGCAGAAAAGTCTGTTCCTGTATCAGTCGCTGCACAAGAACAGGAGAGAGTCCATTCTGCCAAACATATGATATCAGTCCTCAATGTGAAGCTTCAGGGGCAAATTCAAGATCATCTCCACATTCAGGGGAATGCCATCTGTCAGGAACTGCTGTCTGCCAGCACTGTGGATGACCCTTTGTCTTGCATCTTGCCCCAGGAGCTACTGGGTCTCTCTTTAGTGCCTGTGTTGGTGGTGGCAGGCTGCCCAAAGGAAGCTCAGAGCTTGACACTGAAGCTGTATGACCTGCTGGGAGTGGCTGATACAGAAGAACTCTTGACAGAGGTGGTAAGCCTGATAGACAAGAGAATGAGCGAGTCAGCATCTGTACCTGCATCTGCATCAGCAGCATCACCTTCAGAGAGGGACCAAGCTGGGCACCACATAGAGGCTGTGATGTTTAATATCCAGCAACTGGTGTTGGTTGGAGAAGGTACCTCTAAGCTGGAAGGACACTATGAGGGTTGGACCAGGGTGAATGGAACAACTTTGGTAGGAACAGCTGCGGAAGGAGCCACAGGTAGACTGGAGGAGGCAGTGAGTTGCTGTGAGAGACTGGGAGTCCTGTGCAGTGGTGTGACTAGCAGTGGGCTGTTCACATCTGGGATATACCATGCAGTGTTGAAAAAGGGCAGTCGTATTCTGCCATCTGAATCCCCAGAATCTGAATGTTGGATCCATCGGTGCAACATGGAGGAGGATGTTTCAAATCCTGCTGCTTTAGGGCGACGGATAAAGCGCAGTCCCCAGAGGAGTTGTATCAACAAAGGTGAGGAGCATGTGCACAAGGTGGTGGAGTGGATCCCTGCAGTCAGCACCCTCTACAACCTCGGCACAGCTGTGTATTATGCATCAGTTAACTGCCCCGACACAGCCAAGGAGTGCCATTGACCTGGGCACAGATGCTCTCATGGTCGCCACAGGGGGGACAGCTGGGGCAGCAGGTTACGCCCTGGGTGCAGGGGTGAAAACCGGTGTGAAAGCTGGAGTTGGGTATCTGCTCAGCTCCATGAGGCATGAAGATGATGTGCTGATGAATGGGTCCAGCTGGCAGGAGGGTGACATCACCATCTAGTAGACTGAACATACAAGCAGCTTTCTCTGTTTGTGTGACTGTGCAAACAAACTTCACTTTACACAGTTTGACATAAAAATTATTTTTATATTATTTTGAAATCAGTGATTTTCAAATAATTAGCAAATTTAAGCTAATTAGTTGTTTTATAGAGGAAGACAATCTAATTTACAAAATGTAATGAATTTAGTTAAGCAAAAACTAGCTCACATTACACATTGCATTAAGTATAAACAAACTCAGTCAGCTATAACTAAAAGTAGCCTCAGTAAGTGATCCCAGAACCTTTTCTTTTACAATGTAGAAAAATATCTCTTTCTGTGTATAATAGGCAAATTGAACAATATAACATTTAAAGAACTAGTTTCAAGAAACTAAGCCCTTAAACCCTCAAGATGTTGATTTTGCTTTCCATTAAGTGTCTTTTCCTCTGTTAAAAGTCATCAAATTCTCTCATCAGCTCAGTAACATCCCCACCTCTGGTGTAACTGCAGGGACAATAGACCAACAACTAAATGTTGTTTATATGTTGTTCCTAAATATTGTTAAATTTGTGTGCATACAGTGGCTGTCAGTGTGGTATAGTACATAATCAGATTGTCTGTTGTAGAGTGAGCCTGTTTTATTGTAAATGAAACAGTGAGCAGTTTGAAATGTATGCACAAGAAATGATTTAATGTGCATTAAATTATATTTTCTGTATAACCTAAGTCAAGGTGTGCAGACTTTTCACTGGTCTTACGTGTCTTATAATTTTGTCCTATACTTCTCTCCCAGGATCACTGTCAAATGTTATGACATCACTTGAATATAACAGAGCCATCATTATTGTTATTAGTTCCTGCAGTCTGTGACATGAACACGAAGGCATGTAAATTTAGTGAACTCAGAATCAGAATCAGCTTTATTGGCCAAGGGTGTTGGGCATATGCCATGAGAAATACATTATTACCTAGAGAAATGCATTTCCTGTTGAAAATGCGTGTGGATGCTGATATGCTGAAAGATCGTCCTGAAAATGCCTGAAATCAATTGCTGAAACAGCTGAAGAATGAGAAGAAATGGCTGAAGTTATTTGTTGAAATAGTTGAGAAGAAATGGCTGAAGTTCTTTGTTGAATAATCTGAAGGATGAGATGCAATAAATACAAGTAGGAAAGAGCTGAACAATTTGATACCTGAATGGCTTTTCTAGCTGAAAGTATGCTGAACTTATTAAGATGTGAAAATATTCCAATTGGTCCCCACAAAGTAGGTAAAACAGGTAGGTGTGTGTGTGTGTGTGTGTGTGTGTGTGTGAGTGAGTGAGTGAGAGAGAGAGAGAGAGAGAGGGGAGTTATGAGGTGCCATGTCTCAATTGCACTGCACTTTATGGACCACCAGATCGCACTCCAGGACTGTGTCATTGACTCAGCACTTTGAGCTCCCATTGACTTCTATTGTAAACAAAAAGCTGAATAAATTAAAAAGTATAAACGTTATAATAAAAAATTAAATACAAGCAGGAAAGTCCTTGAAGAGCTGAACAGGTAGATACCAGAATGGCCTGTATAGCTGAAAGTATGCTGGACTTATAAAGTGCCAAAAAAGGGTGGAAGATCCCAGAATAATCAGGAGAACACAGTGTGGATGCTTTACACCATCCACACAAATACATTTTAAGCTGTGTTTTAATCAATACTGTATATTAACCAATATATGCTATTCAATGGATTTTAAACTTTCAGAACAGAGACCTGTGAGAAACTGCTTGTGTGAGCTGAAGGACATGTCTTATCTGTCTTTTGAACTCTGTGTGGTGTGATACATTCAACTACAGGATGTTCCAGACTTAGAGCAGCCTAGCCATAAACTGTGACAATAATGATCACACCACTGGGCCTGGTGCCTTTCTGATCTTTTGTTTTTGTCTTCAGGGGTAGGGGGCTGAGGGGAAAGGAGAGTATCATGAGGGGACCATCTGCTGGGTCTGAGGTGAGGTGGGTGAGGGGTGTGGAGTTCTGCTTCACACACTGAGGTCGTCTGCCAGTTGAAGGTCTTCCATATCGTAGGGTGGGGTATGGGTGTTCTTGTAGCTAGTTATATTTTTCAGGCTTTTCCTCTTTGCTACTCTGATCTCCCTTGTCAATGTGTTCCTGGCCTGCTTGTACAGGATCCTGTCTTCACTTCTTGAGGTCTGCTCTTTGGCATGACTAAGTTGTTTGAGTCTTACTGTGACCCAGAGCTTATTGTTGTTGTATGTGCAGAAGGTCTGGGTGGGCACACACATGTCCTCACAAAAGTTGATGTATGATGTCACAGTGTCAATGAGTTCATCCGCGTCTGTAGACGCAGCCTCAAATACACACCAATCTGTGCAGTCAAAGCAGGCCTGTAGCTCTGACTTTACTGCTCAGTCCATCTCTTCATTGTTTTGATCAGAGACTTTGCAGCTTTAAGTTTCTGCCTATATGTTGGGATGAGATGGACCATACAGTGATCAGAGAGACCGAGGGCTGCACGGGGGACAGAATGATTGGCATCGTTTGTTACCGTATAGCAGTGGTCCAATGTGTTTTTGTCCCTGGTGGGACAACTAATGTGCTGTCTGTATTTGGGCAGTTTGTGGGTGAGATTTGCTCTGTTTAAATCCCCTAGAACAATGAGTGGGATGATCCTGGATGTTTCAGTTCCATGCTAGTTATCTGTTCAGCCAGGTGCTTTAGTGTGCTAGCGTGGGCCTGCAGTGTTATATACATCAGACCGGAATGAATGACAAAAATTCTATGGCAGAATAAAATGATTGCAGTTGATGAAAAACTCAGTGTGTTTGTCTGTGTGTGTGAGTGTGTGTTGATCCTGTGGCAGGCTAGTGACCTTTCCGCAGTGTTGCCTTTTCCAGTTCTTAGTGTGAAAGACTCCTAACTCCCCAAACAAGATAATCTTGTGTGAATGGATGGATTTTATTATGTTCATCTAAAGTATGTTAGACAGTTATTGTTACACATTAACATGTTTGTCAAAATCCCAGGTGTTCATCATCATTATCTCTTTTCTCATTCTGAGTGCGGCCCTGTGAACTTTGCTCTCTACAGTTAACTGGTCAGCTTGGTCACATGTCAGTGCAACATATCACAGAGCTGAGTGGAAAAAGTCAAGGAACAGTCTGTGTATTGTTTAATCAGATACACCCACTACAGAACATACATTCCTAATGGGATTTGATTTAGGTAAAAGAGCTGCACTAGTTTAAGATCTGTCTGATATTAGATAACCTGTTAGTTTGTCTAGGAGGAAAAGCTTTAAACATCGGTGTCAGATTTTCACATCTGTCCACACATTGTTATGGTCGACTGCTCTCTTGCCATGTGAGAGAGAGGAAAAATAAATAGGCTGGACCCAGAGAGCAGGGTATGACACAGGTTATGGAGGTTTATTACAGTTCAGGTTATTGACAGATGGGTTGAGGGAGAATGCAGTGTATGCTTTTGACCCAGACTGAGGGAGGCATGAGGCAGATGAGAGAGAAGGGAGGCCCCGTCACTCACACCGGTAGTACCCTGGTAGTGGAGGCTGATGGCCAACTCTTGTCCCTGGGAGAGCACAAGAGTGAGAGTGAGCACAAAGGGTAATTGGACTCACGGAGTGCAGGGTTAGGCTGGGAGCTGTAGCTGAGATGCGGCTGGAGAGGAACGGAGCAGGAGCGCAGGTGAGTAATGGCAAGGACAGTGGCAGAAGTCCGGGGCGAAGATAACTGAAGGGCGACCCAGATAGAATGGCGTCGGAACAGGTGAGAGGCTGCTGATGAATGGATTATAGAGTTTGTGGCAGAGGCTAAGCTGAGGCAGATAGCAGAGGTGCAGCCCAAGAAACGAACAATAACTGGAACCACCCAGGTAGGTGTACAGCAGATTGATGTGAAGACAAGCTCGAAAACAGTCTTACTGTGATTGACGATTGTCATAGAACATGAGTGAAACAGAAGGTTGAAGCTTCTTCTGCGGCCAAACTTCGTGGAAGCTGCGAACAACGAACTGGCAGCATCTGTATGTTTGAGCAGCTCCTAACTACTCAGTCCTGCAATCAGCTGATTCACATCAACTGCAAGGTCTGCTGGGAGTGTGTCTGTAGAGAGAGGGAGAGACGAGCGAGAGGCAGGTGGCAGCGAACAAACCTGACACACGTAGCAATGTTTATTTTTGGGCTTATCAGAAACAGATAGTGACAGTTGTTTCTGAACTGGCTGAGCTATAGGGACTGAGGTGGCTGACAGCCACAATTTCCTGGGCCTACAGGTGACATCTGACCTGAGCTGGTCATTGAACACAGCTGCAACAGTGAAGAAAACCCAGCAGTTCAGAAAAGCTGGGCTGAACCATCGCTCTCTCACCCAGGCTTATAGAGGACTGGTAGAGAGCATCCTCACTATTGGCATCACTGTCTGGTATGGTAGCACCACACAGGCAGAGAGGAAGGCTCTTCAAAGAGTTATAAAGACTGCAGAGAGGATCACTGGGACTAAACTCCCTGCTATGGACACACTATACACACAGCGCTGTCATAAAAGAGCAGAGAATATAATCAGGAATCCACTCCACCCAGCTCACACCCTGCTCAGACATGAAAACTGCACCTACAGCCTCAGGTACAGCAGGGCAGACAGTGTCATCACACACAGAACAAGACTTTACAACACCTGTATATACCATCAGATGCAAATGCTAATTCGGGTAGTGGTCTTTTATATGGTACCATTTGCAGTTAGCAGAGCATATATCCAGACGCTGTGCACATTATAGCAGGGGACTTTAATCACGTGGACTTGAAGGCAGTGCTACCCAAATTCTATCAGCACATGAAGTGTGCTACTAGGGGAGCTAACACATTGGACAGGGTTTATTCTAACATCAAGAGGGGCTACAGGGCTAAACCATTATCACACTTGGGCCAGTCGGATCGTGTGTCCCTGCTTTTAATCCCCACATATGCAACCCTAAAGAAAACTGCTCCAATTACTGCTAAGATTGTTAAAACTTGGCCTGATGGTGCCTCT